CAAATAATGGCTATGTAGTCACAGGACCCGTGGTTCTTTGGGCTGTCTCTGGCAGGAATTGGGATGAACAACTTCAGTTAACACAAAGTACATGAGGTTGTACACAAATACCTTCTCTTGCAAAGACTCTGGCAAAAGTATCAGAGTGTGTAGAGTATCTTATTCTTTGTAGAATTTGCAGCCAAAAATGTCAGACTGCTTTGTAATCTTTAACTAGTCAATCTGAATTATTTCTGTGAAATAGAAGGACTACATAGACATTGATCACTTCACTCCAGCCTTGGAGCATACTCACCACTGGAGTACAGCATCAGCTGGGTAGTAAGATGCAATGACATCTTCTCAAGTTCAAAAGGAAGTGAAGACTTATTGCTTGTAGTTCATTTTCATGAGGAGCGTGGGAGGCTCAAGAGGAAACTTCAAAGTGAAGCTGTGTGCAAACACTCAAACTAGACCTGGTGGGACCAAACTTGCTTTGCAGAGCAGTTGTCACTCTGTCACAACAACACTGCTCAGGACTGGGAGTGATCAGGGTAGCAAGGCAGTCTACACATTCTAAGAGTTTTGGTTTCTCTGTCAATAACTGAATAAGCCTGGAAATAAATATTAAGAAAAAATCCCCAGCAACCTTCTAGGCCGCTGGAAGCCCACACAGGCCCAAGAAGTCCTTGTCTGCACCGTTCTCCATCCCTTCCAGTACATCTATGCAGACTTCCAGGGTACGAGTAATCTCTGGTCAGCTCTTCCCTATTTAGGGAAATATTTAATCCTGTGTTTACCTGAAGGCCAGTTCTGATGCTTGCTCTTGGGTCAATAATTTCTATAACAGCAAGAAATGAAAACACACAAAGACATTAATGAAATCAGCATTCTCTCACATGATTAATAATGTTTCCTTTTCAACAGTCAGCAGGTGAAGAAACTCAGCAGTAAAATTCTTCTGCACATAAGGACCCAGAATATGACAACTCCTGCCTTAACAAGGGAGCATATGTACTGAATCCATTCCTTTCAGTGCAGGCAGAAGGGAAAGTGTTAATTATTCTTTGTGGGATGAATGAAATGCACTGTACAATTAGCACCTTCTGTGCTCCTGCCTAATGACAGGCTTAACTTAAGAGAATTCTCTGTACTGTCCTACGTATCACCTTTCCTCTGACATTATCTTCCTTTTCTTGGCTCTCTACGTAGAATTTTAATGAGACTTAATTGTTTTTCCATCAGCTGCAAGGATTTCAATCCCAAGTCATATGTGGGTTGTCATTCTACAGAAGGTGGTATGGGGAGCTGTAGAGATGTTCTCTTGCTAAAACAGAGCAGGAGGCAGCGCCCACACCTCCCACTGCATCCCAGGGAAGGGCTGTCTCTGTGTTTCCAGTGCAGGCCCAGAGACTACAGCTTGGTATTTCTGCAGTTACACAGTGGGGACAGGAAAAATCAGTCACACAAATGACTGCCACCACCTCCCTGCAACTCCACTGGTTGCAAGGAGGCTTGAGGTGTTGGTTCCTGCCTGACAAGGGTTTGCACTCAACACAGAGTACTTGCAGGTGCCAAATGAGCTGTACATCAGCCTTCTGTTTTATGTCCTTGGCCATTTACTAGTCACCTGCACACTTTTGTCTTTTGTTTCATCATTCAGACCATCTTCAGTAGTACAGCATATTTAAAACAGATTTGCTTACTTCTCTTAAACCATTTCAAGGGCACTTCTGAAGATATCAGAGATTCTCTGAAGCATCATGAGGGAAACAGGATGTTGCAAGAGCAACTGGGTAGAGCTCACCATCAGCTCACTGCTGACAGCAGGGAGCACAAAGGGTTCCTTGATATACAGACCCATGGTGTGGTGCCATTACAGAGAAAGATGCTACGATTACTCTGTATGGTCATCAGGCTGCATGAAGATAAATTCCAGATTTGAAGAGGTGCTGCCCTATAGTTAATCAATAAGCTATTTCAAAAGCTGACACTGCCTGTGGGATCCTGGCACTAGGTGTGAGGGTGCAGGGCCTGGGAACAGGGGTGGCATCACAGCAGGCAGGCAAGCCCTGAGCACCAGGGCTCTGAGGCTGATGGGAGAAGTCCCAGACACAGAAAGGGAATCTTGGTCTCTATGCAGAGCTCCCACAGGGCTGCAAAGTCTGCTATCACTCAGCAAAGGACCAGGAGCCTAAAAACAATGATGGTTAATTAATATCTCATATACTTCCATAATATTCAATCCTGGGTCCTATATATAACTTACTTAATGGTCTGGGAGTATGCTAGCAAACAGCAGCATTTATGAAATGAGGAAGCAGAAGCACTTGTTGCTGGTCTGAAGGGTATGAAATCAGAGGAAAATACAATTTGAGGCCTTAGAGAACAGTAGTTTCAGGTCCAGGAGGACAACATCACCATCCCACTCTGAATCTTGTGCTCCTCAACTGGACAATGTGACAATGGCTAGCCAGCCATGTTTAATCAATACTTAGATATTTTTGTTAGTAATTCATGGACTTAATATTTATTAAAATATTCCTCAGAGCCTTGTTCCTGCACACTACTCTATTTCATCATGTGGAGCATTCAGTGACAGCTTCCATGTAGCTGTCTTCTGTTATCACATCTTCTGCCCTCCCAAAATATCTCTTTCCCTTATGGGAAACAGCATGGAAGAAATAGCATCTTTTATGTCATAGCTGCTGTATGACAACTGTGTGGTTTCCATCTACACCTGACACTCATTATAAATATTCACTTTTTCACAGCTAGAATCTTCCCTTTGGGGCTTTGGTGCCAATCCAAATCCCAGGAAAGTGTAAGAAAACAAATTAATTAGCAGGCACTGGAGAGTGTGAATGTTGCCCAAAGGTATACATTGGCAACTAAATATGAGAAGCCTGTGATGCTTATTAAGTGACTTGAGTTTGGCTGGCTGGCAGGAACAGAGCTCCTGCACCAGAGAGCAGTGGGCAGCTCTGCAGCTGGAGCACAGCCAGAGCCCTGCACTGCTTCTTTCTAGCTGGGGCTATCTCCTGCTCCACTTAGGGGTGACATCAGGAAGCCAACTCAGATTTGAGGTAGGTGCTTTATATTTGATCAGTTGCTATAAGCAAGACAGGTCAGAGTCTCCACATTAACATGCAAGGCTGTAAGATAACCAAACAAAGTGACATCCCCTCAGCAATGAGCAGCTTCCCAGATTAGCATCCACAGAGCATGGTAGCCACTCAAACAGGGCTCTAATTTTGGCCACTAATAAGAAGATGCAAGTAAGCTGATGAGACCCGAAAAACTTTGTTTACTCCCTCTTTCTCAGACTATTTTTCATTAACCATTACAAATATTCAAATTGAAGCAAACACTGCGGATATGAGGGAATCTTTAATTCACTGACAAGAAATGCTGCCTTCAGGAACTCTTTCATGACCACTATAAATAGAAAGCCATAGCAATGCAAAACTGAAATCAGTGCTGACAGTCCAGCTCTTGCCTTCTTTAAAGAAGTTGCCAAAATGTGCAGAAATTGAAGTATTAGGAGAGATAACACAATGTTTGCTCAGTGCACCTCATCTGTAATTTACAGATTGCGAATGTTGGCATCACTTGAACACTAAATGTTGGCATCACTTGAACACTCTACTCTTCCTTTAAAAATGTGTCCCATGCCTAGAGCTTTAGACAAATCATCTAATTTCCCAACATGTCAGTAACATTCAACTGAGTGCTGCTACTAGAGCAGAACAAAATATGTTCCTGTTGTGTCATAAATGGAGAACTGTTGAGTCCAGAACTTACATGTCAAGGTGCAGGCAGGGGCTGATGCATTAGTCATACCTTACATTTCTGGATGGACTCCTCTTTCAAAAGCATAACAATACCTCTGAGTATGGGAAATAGGCAAAAGCAAGCAAAAAGATGGCTATACCAGCTCTGGCCTACAGCACCAGATATTTCCATCCCTCGTTGCACTAGCTAAATGTAATACTCGTGTAATAAGCAAAGTCCAAAGAATGTCAATTTAAAAGTTCCTCTGAATGTCATATGTCAACTGTGTCTTATGCCAACATGTTCCCCATTCTCCTCTGTGCTTCTTGCTCCCTTTCCCAGTTACATTTTCTGGTGTCATGTATCTTCTAACCAGGAGGTCAGATGTTTAACTTTCTCTACATAAGAAACTCTCAGCAATCTTCTGAAAGCAGATACCTTTAACAAACAAATTCAATTGCGAAAGAGTCCCACTTACAGAGCAAGCGTGCAAACAAAAAATCCATAAAAGTCCCTGAACAAGCCCCATCTTGAGAGAGAACTTGAGAGAGAACCCTGCACTGGGCTAAAGGGATGATTAAGCACTGATAACCCCAGAAACTGGAAAGTTTCCCAGGGGCTTAAGAGATGTTTAAACATAACTCCCTCAGCAACCAAAATTTGAAGTCAGTTCCTTGGAAGCGAAATTCGAGCCTATTCATCCTGGTAACACCATGTTAAGGCACCATGTGAAATGCCTGGCTTTCCAGGCTGAGGCTTTCTGCCTCTGCTGGTGTAGAGCTGCAGCACAGCCAGTGGAAGGAAGCAATTAACACCAGGCTGATTTATGCCTGCTGATACCTGCACGCTGTGTGAAGGTGAAAATGCAGGGAATGTGAATAAGCAGGAGACCACACACATAACAAGAGGCTGTGGGCCATTGAGGCATGGACAGCTAATGGAAATCCCTCTGCTATGCCATGACACACCCCCAAGGCACCCGCCCAGCTGGCAGGCTTTTGAGCCCCTGGGAGAATCCATCCTCAGGAAACACAGAGAGAGATGATGTGTGTTTAATGACACAACAGAAATGTTTCTGGCCATGCACATGCATGGATGGAGTCCCCTGACTGGGGAGGAAGCTGGCATCTATGAATCCCATGACCAGAGGAAGCTGGCATCTATGAATTTCATGACCAAACATACAACATATATAAGTGCACAAAAGGTCACATGTGCTTTCCTCATGGTCTGTGCCTGTGCCTTACCTGGATTTATGAGAGGTGACATCAATCAGTTTTGGAAAATGCTTGGGATCCTCAACTTCCAAGAATGGAATGGATAAAATCTCCAACAGATCTGGGATTTTGGAAAGCTGTTAGACTCACCTAAAGTAAAACACAGAAAGTATGTCATGAAATACTGAATATGATTTTTTTCTTCCATTATTTCTGAAAAGGGTAATTAATGTCTTTGCCTGTGCTGTAGAAAACTCTGAGACAAATCTATCCTTCAGGTCACAGGAAGTGGTGACATACAGGCAAAAATAAAATCAGTGTTGCATTCAGTTTACATCTGTGTGGTTCCAACTGCTAGAGCCCAGATGATTTTTTCCTTTAATTTTAATCATGCCTGCAGAAAATGAGAACCCTGTGGTACACTCCTTCAAGCCAGAGTGCAGATACCCCAACTCCCCTTCCCTACCAACAGCCTTTTGGGGCCACACCATCCCTGACCATTCCAGAGCACAGCTTCACTGACAGCATATACAACTTGACAAGTAAAAAGTACAAGATGGTGAAGGAATTTTCTTCTCTCCCCACCCTCACCTTCTAGTGGCACAGAATCTACATAAACAAATGATTATCATTGACTTTGCCAGTAGATTAGCCTTTTCATCTGGGAATACTACTTCATTTAAAATAAGAGATTGGAAACTCTTCACAAGAGACAGGTAAAACTAGCATAGACACAGCATTCCCAAAAATAGCTTAAAAAAAAAAAAGACAAAATAGCAAGAGTAAGAGATTAAACAAGGGACCTACAAGGGATTTTTTTTCCCCCCCATTTCTACCTGCTATGGGTTTTCTTAGACAGAAATAGCTGCTCCCAGAAGTCATGGAAACCTTGGCTTTGTCCTGACTTGAAGCTGAGCTTAACTGGAGGGGTGAAAAGGGAAGTACTTACACGAAGTACTGATTGGTCTCCCTGTTAATTCAATTAATATGCTGGCCCACAAGGGCCCTCTGCTGCTCCTCAGCAGCCAGGGCCAGGCAGAAACATAAGTGGAGAGAGCAGAGTGGGGGGCAGTGCTTGACTTTCCCTGTCCCACACTGGCCAAACCAGCTGCTGAGGAGAAGCAAAACCTCACATCATCCCCAGTGTATCTCTTGCAAGGAACACAGTGGGCAAGGAAGCAGCCTGTCCCATGGAAGGGAGGGAAGGAGGGAGGGAAGCTGCCTCAGTCAGTGCAGCAGGAGTCAGCTACTCCCTGCACTATGAGAAGATGGAGGGAGATGTGTCCCCATTCTGTCTTGGAAATAAAATGCTTCTCTTAATCATCCCAATATAATAATAAAACTTTCCACTCAGGCAGAGCATACCAGACCTCTCATATGCTCTTAAAACTTCTTCCTTAGATTTGTTGTCCAAAAAGGCACCATAAACTACAGGTAAACCCCCACACGTTTTCCCTTGGTGCTGGGAGCCCTCACTTCAGTGCATCCCCACTGGAGCTTCACAAACTGTGAAAATTGCTCTCTTTTGTTTTTTCCCAATGATGCCATGAAACCAAGACACCACAAAAGGGCAGCTAACTGCAAATATCAAGCTTCAAAAGATAACAGCTTATATGATCTCTGACAAGTTTCTACAGATATTTTCTTTTGCTACTGTTTAAACCTACTGCAGAGTCCTTATGCATCCGTATGGGTAGTCCTGGAGTGGATTTTATGGGGTAACACAAGATCCCCAAGACAGACATGGGTCACCTTGGGCTGACAACAGAAAGGGTAATATAAAAGAAGATTTCAAGGTCATTTCCAAGCCACTAGCAATTTTTTTCTGCTTGCCAAGATACACTGATTAAATAGTCACATCTTGATATGAAATTATGAAATTTCTGTTCATAGCATATAAACTTCTATAAAAGTTCGGCAAAATTCATGTGGATTCAATCAACGACCTGGAGAATAGGGGGAAAGGAGTATTAATTTTTTTTGCACCAGTAATTTGTATAAATTCAGCAAAAAATTGCATTTTACTGTCAGTCAATATACAAGTCCTTTGTATGACTGGGGGGGCATGACACCCAAATTGCCCAATTTCACTGATTCAATGCAGCTTCTGCCAGTCAACAAGAGCTTTCAGCCTAGACAAAGACTGAAATAAAGCATACCAAATAAAAGCCATGGACATCTAATTGTCGTTTCCCAAAAGCTTCTTTCAGTCCCAGCTTCTCAGAAAACTACCCAAGCATTAAAGCTGCTGCCTCTCAGGGAAACTAATTATAACTCAAAAAAAGGTTTGGGGGGGGAAGGATGCAACCCACATGTCTAACTGAATATATAAAGGATAATTGTGTCATTAAAACTAACAATATTTGAGATGGCAAAAGAACCACAAGGCAAGAATGGATGTGTTGGACACCATCAGGCTCCCATCAGATTACTCACATAAAAATGCAGCCATCACCAAAAGAATGTAATCCTTGTGTGCTTCCACTGATACGGCTCAGATGTGCATGCTGGTATTTCTGAGCTCTTGCAGAGCTGAAAGTGTCAGCAATTCATTGTTTACTGTCTGGACTGAATTGACTCTTGGAGCTCCTTAACCATGCACAGCCAGCCAGTGCTTCATCCACCAAGGCATGCTGATTGCCATCCAAGCAACACAAGCTTCCCCAGAGTTCTAAAGCAGGGTCCTCCTCACACCATCCAAGGAGCTGCTCACAAAGACTCCATTTAATCCCTGCAGCCCACCTTTGTGGCACAGCAAGACAATTGTCCTTTTGAGAAGAAGAAAGTCCTGGAATCAAGGAAAGCCAGTGGGCGCTGCCAGGAAGGCAGCAGCAGAGGGTAGTCATGCTTTCTGGCCATGATTTATCATGAAAAGGAGTTGCTATCTCTATCAGAGAAATTGCACAGCCCCAAAGAAATCATGAGAACATATTTTCTGAATAACTTCAGTCATTCCCTCGTCTAACCTTGCCAACAAAAAGCTCACTAAGACAAGTTTTTCTGTCAGCACTTGAGCTAATGAAACTCAGCTTCCTATGGATTTGTTACATAACCCCACAAAACTGCTGAAACCAGCTTCCTACCACCCTGTTGCACATTTGGGTTTACTCTGCACCCCTCAGTGACAATATTCTTAAGTTTTCTGATGTTTACTCATCCTTCAAAAATAGTCATATCCCTGAAAAACTGACAGTGAATGATACCTACCTTATAGGCATCCCTCCCTTACTGCTGTCACCTATTTATCCTGGTGGTCTCACCTATTTCTCTTTCCTGTCTGACACCCTGTAGTTACCTGTCTCCAGTGACATCTTTGGCTCCCACAAAACCTTTACTTTTCCATTGCTTTGAGGCAAGCAAGAAACAGCCTATGCTCTAGCTGGTTTAAAATCTTTCACACAATGAGGGCAGATGGCTTTTGTACATTTGGGACAAAATGGCAGGACAATGGCTGAACAACCACAGCTTTACCTTGAGGGGGCATTAATCAAGCCTCTGGAAAATTTCCACCAGACTTCATGAAAATCATAAAAATGGTAATGTCTTCGAGAGGTTTTTCTTTCTTTCCAGATTGGCTGAAATTTGCTGACAGTTTGAAAAGTTATGTGGAGGAGCTGGGGGGGGACCAACAGATGGACAGACAGCCATGGCAACTGTATAAGCCTCATTTCTTCAGAAAACCACACTAAAAATAGAAGAAAAATACTGTGGCTGACAGATTTAATTAACATAAACACACAAGGTTTTTATTCCATTAGCATTCTTACTGGTCTAACTATTGCATGAGAGGTTTAGTTGCCATTTCTGATAGAAAATAACTCAGCTGTGCAACATTCTGTTTGGAAAGAGTCCCTCAGACTCTGAATTCCTAGGCCAAAGATGTCCTTTCCTACTGCTTCTTCACATTAGTCAAGGGTTGCCTCTAGCAGACACAGAGCAATCTCTTAAACTTGTCTTGTGGATTTTTTTCCTTGTCTCTGTTTATTGGTATTTAACTTGGAAGAGCGGCAGACTGAAAAAGGATATTAAGACTCACATTTGAAACAATGTGTTATGTACTAAGGGAATAAATCAAAGTCATGATGTCAGTGGAAAAACTCTCATTCAATTCAATCAGTTTGGAGCACCAGTTAATAGAGAGTAGAAACTCTTGGTGAGAAAGTATCAGAGCATCTCATGTGACTGAGGTCCTCCAGGCAGTTGAGCTGGGCCACCCTTTTTGTGCTGGGGCCTGGCAAAGTAAATCCAAGCAGCGCAATGCAGTGGCTTGCAGACAGGCTAACCTGAGGAAGCCCTCCAGCAATACAGCTCTTAAGGCTGTTTGTAGCATTAGTGCAGATTGTGATACCTCTTCTTTTGAGGAATACAGGCTAAAAAGGTATGCCCTCATAACACCTAAAAATTAATAAAAATACTTCTTTGCTCAATCTCTAATTTTGGGATTAAAGTTCCTGAGTTATCCTTTCAGCCTAGCCTGTAACTAGGATGTTTTGTCTGACTGCTGCCTTCGATTTGTAACACCTTGACCCCAGAACAGATACATTTTTCGTCATTAATTTAACACAGCCTTTAGGACACTACTAGATGACACACTTGAGTCATCTAAGGAGTTAGAGAGAGTGGTCCAAATAAAGTAGAACTTACCTGAAGGAGAAAGCCACTACAAGTTCCATCTAAAGTTCACCTTGGAAGGTCTTTGATAAGTGCAAAGTAGGAGTTCGGGTAGGAGTATGAAATTAATTCCATCTAAATAGCAGAGGTGCCCATTCCATGGGATACTGACATATCCAACACAAACACAGAATGAGCAAGTTTTGGTTGAACCATTGTTAAATTTTTCAGCTCTGTGATGGCAGCAGGGCAACTAAGAGACCATGCAGATAATTGCAGCATTATGCAAGGATAGCAGAAACTAAAATCACTACAATTCATTTAAATCTTCTGCCTAAGGAAATCAATGTAATATAAAAAGATTATCTGAGATAGGATACTGTTGGGAGAGTTCAGATCTTTTTTTATCTGCTGCTCTGTTCCAGGCAGGCTTTTTTCTGTCTCAGCTCATGCAGTTGAGATCATGGTGAGGTGTTCTTGAACATTTTGTGATCCTAAAATTTTCCCCTTATTTGATTTTGCAGATTCAATCACTTTAC